TGTCATATATACGTACGTTTGTGCTTGTGCTGTCGAGCACTTTTAATTGTATACAACATTTTTAAGTAATTATTATATTCTAAAACTTGCATATTAATGATAAGAACTCAATTATCTATATGTGCTGTAAATAGGTAGCTGGTGATTCAAGATCTATTTTTCGACCTATATAAAAGAAAGATTTGCAAAAAAAAAAATATACCAATAAAGTATTAAGGATCGAACATATTCTTGATGTACTCGGGCCGCGAGGCTGAGCAATATTCTGAGGAAAGTATTGTACAAGATACAAAGATTGGACAATATCTCCCCTTATCTTCCATTGACAATTTGAAGATATGCTAAAAACTGATCAAGAAGCTTTCATGCAAGTTGTAAGTAAAGCTGCTTATCACAATTATAATTAATTCTATAAACATTTACAAATAACATTTTCGGTTAGTAATTACATAATCGTAGTATATTACACAATAAAAATAGACTGAAAATTTAAGATGAATTAAGACATTAAGAGAAAAGACTGTAAGAGATATCTCCTCTCCCTCCCTCTCTCTCTCCCTCTTTCTCCCTTTCTCTCCAAGAGTAGTAAATATAATATTTGCAATTTAGAGTCGACAAATAGATCACTAGAACTTGTAATTTTTACCGATTTTTTGGTATTATTTTCAATGTAGTGCCTATAGCAAAGATAGTAATTGCGCATTATCTGTATCTACTATGTTTATAGTTATTTTGATTGTAGCGTAACATATGCATATATTTTTTGTTTATAACAATTTATTAGATGAAAAAATAGATGAAAAACTCTAAAAATATCAGTAACATACAGACAAAATCATCCAAACGTCACATCAAATAAGTACTAACGCATTCACTACTACATTGTTCAAGTCTTTTATGCATATAGATTTTCTATATATAAATGTGTGTTGCTTTGTTTTATCATATTTAGCAGAAAACTTAAGTATTTATATATAAAAATCTTTTTGCAAATTTTTCATATATTTTTAAGCTTTTAAATTTAATGGAAATGGTACAGTAATATTTTTTTACAATTTTCTTTAACGGAGCAAACATACTGATAATATTTAAAAGTTGTACAATTTTTGTAACAGATAAATATTTACACTGACAGCTCGAGATCTTTACTTTGAAATTTTTTAATCATTTTTGTGATATATTGAGCAAATGCTCTAATTGATTTACACCTATTTTTATTATGTAAAAGCATTTGTAATTCTATGCAACCAATACGATATATGTAAACTTTCTAAAAGAAGGTAGAATTTTGTCGGTAAAGTTTTCAAATATGGTATGTCCTTCAAAAATCAAAATGTATTTGTATTAATCTCTATAATGTATTCAACTGTATGTTTTATGTATAAAACGATCAAATAGAATCTTGAGGAGGAGCACCCAATGCGTCCAAAATAAAAAAATGGTTACTCTGACTCTTAATCTTACAAACTTATATCTATAATATATGTCTTTTAATATGTTCTATAATATCCTATAATATGTGTTATTATATTTTAAAAGTCTTCTGAATTATTTTCCTTGCAATTTATAATAATAAACTGCATTATATAGAATTACAAGTATAAATTTTTCAGGTGAACAAGGTTATGTTAATTGGAGGGAAACATGAAAAAGATTTTATTAGAAGAAGTTTGAGTGCTATATTTTCTGATGACTTAGCCTCCATGTATTCATGGACTGGTCAAAAAAATAATTATAAAATTGGAGATACGCACACAATTCTGAGCATTAAAAGTAAGTAATTTTTTAAGAGATGTATATATTACTTGCAATATTAAATGCTATGTTTTATGTCTCAAAATTTATTAAAATTGTCTCTAAAATTTTTTTGTGGCAATCATCGTTAAAAAGCAGGACACACATACACGTTAAAAATTCTTACGAAATAAAAGAAAAATATTTATCCATAAACTAATACTTTTGATCGATTTAGTATATATGTAAACTATTCCGGAAACTTTTGTGTTACTTCAATAATTATCATAAGTTTTAATTGCTGTTAAATTAACATTATTTATTTCTTTCATCTAACAATGAATAAACGGTACACGTATTGAATTTTTCTTATTCCAGAAGCTTTTAGAGCAATATTCCCTCGGAATACAGAAAAAGATTTTCAACACTTTGTAATGGAGTGGTTCAGATTCGCAAACGTCTGTAAGGAAAGAAAAAAACATTAAAAAGGTAATGTAATGTATTTCGGTATATACTCTATAAAATAAAATTATTATAGTTTGCCGCGTTATAATTTATAAGTAACTTTTTCACTAATTTAATTCTACTTTTATTTTTTAGGAATTGATAAATATATTATCTTACTTGTGTGGCTCCGCGCGAGTGATTATTATAGTAACAAAAGGGTCTTAGGTTTGATCTCGACTCAGTCTGCATCCCGCATATACAGTCCTCGTTTAACTTGTTTCCCTGTAAGGGATTGATTAAGAGGAAGTAAATGGTTTAAGGATTCGTGGTTTAAGAATCCAAAAGTTTAAGGATTAAAAGACCTGTATGTGATTTAATAATCCGTTTTAGAAAGTTTGTAGAATGAAAAAAAAAAAATACATAGTTCTAGACGATAGTAAAAAGAAAGTTTTTATACATTAGAAATAGTGATTTGTGCTATATGATCTAAAAGAATAAGGTCGAAGGCACTAACACCCTCATTCGAGGGGACACATTTCAAATAAAAAAGGAAGATTTTGATAAAATTATTTGGTTTGACATTTTTTCTTAGTATCACGTTTAGTTTTTATTCAAGGATCAACGACGAAGATGTGAGACCACATCTGATCTTGTCTTATTAAAATGCATTTTTTCCTGGATTTAAGACAGAAATCTGATTTTTTTATTTGAAAGATGAGTTTTATCCCAAAACCTTCCGTTAGAATCAGTGATCTTCACCAAATATATTATTGTGATAAACTGAAAACTGTAATATATGGTATAAATTATTTTTATATAAATAAAACTTTTTTTATGATAATTAGTGAATTATTCCCCAATGCAGATTAGTATACATATAACAGGCCTGGGCAACTTGGAGCTCCGGAGCCACGACACTCCCCTACTTTCCGTGGATAGAAAAGAAGTGTCGTGGTTCTGGAGCTCAATGTTGTCCAAGCCTGGTCTATAAAAGCAATCTAAATATTAATTAGACAATAAATATTGAGATATTTTATTACTATTGCATATTTATTGAAAACATGTTGCCTGTAATAGAAATAAAACATCAATAAGAACTTTAAATAAATGTTGGAATTAATATTACGGTAATCTTAATATAATATTGTAATAAAGTTGATAGTACGTTTAAATTTTTATCTCAAAAACATTACAGGAATGATAGAAAAACCTTAACGCAATGTTATTTGCAACGTTATGGCACCCCCATTTCAACATTACTGAAATTTCGGAATCGTGGTCAAAGTATGTTCATAATGATGTTCTATACAACATTAAGAACTACATATTTAACAACATTACAAGTTGTAGAATATCGTTGCAATAACATGTAATAATGATTTTTTGCTTACTGGGATGTAGTTGGGATGTAGTTACGTCAAAACAAGCATAAATACGTACCTATGTCTAATTCCTTTCTTTTTTAGTCGCGCCGCAAACGTCTGTTTCGCAGGCCGTTGTTGATCAGACAGCCGAAAGTTACCAATAGCAACCAGCGGTATTTTTGAATGGTATTATAATGCTATAAGGATAACTATAGACGATAGTGAAAAAAAAATCCACATATGAAAAATCCCAGGCAGCATGCTAATGTTCACTGAATGTTAGTTTTGTGTTATATATGTTTACTGTTTGATTTCGAACAGTCAGCTAACATTCTGAAAATAAATTTTTTCAAAGAGTTATGATCTAAACGTTGAACGAACGTTGCAGATATATTACTAATTTGCCTTTTAGTCGCGTTATTTTTGTGTTCAGATGCGAATGTTTTTGGAACATTGTGCTCTAACACTTGTAGCAAAATATACTCGAAGTCCGAATTTTTCTAAAAACGGATCGGATCATCAAATAAAGGATACTGGAAATTGGGAGTGGAGCAAGGGGGATGAACAGAATAAGAGGCAAAAAGGGAATGACTGAGAAGGAGGCTATGAAGAGAGAGAAGGAAGGGGTATTAACCTTCGTCCGCAATACGCAGACGCAAATCGCATCGTAACAGCGCGGTGAGCGTGACGTCATCTCTGCGCTTGTGCATTGCAAGCAAAGGTTATCAATCTACCTTTCTCTCTCTCACCTAACTTGGACTGCTTGGACACACTGGACACAGATCTTTTCTACGGGTTTTAATTAAATATTATTGCACAGTAAAAATCATTACGCCAGGTAAGTTTATAATGTTTCTTCTTATGCAGGAATTATAAGGCTAATGGCATAGAACGAAATGAAATGTAGACACTTAACGTTCTCTGCTATCACCCTAACGTTAAGTTGTAGGCTAGTCATGCATAGAGATTAGGTAATCAGTTATTTGTCTCTATGACAATCATGATTGCTTTTGTTACGATAATTATTGAAAATTGATTTTTTAAAGTGTTTTCGTGTATTTAAGATTAGAAAGGTGGAAATTCAAAAGACTATTTATAGTTAATTTCTTAAAATATAGACGTCAGATATTTTACGAACATTAGTCAGAAAAAAATGTCGGGAAAAAAACTTGTTACTCAATGTCAAATTCAGAAAATAGCACAGATATTAGTGAATTCAACACAAAACATATTGGATGACTTTTTTTTAGAAGAGAGGACATCGCATGATCCTACTGTTATTCTCTGCTCCCCAAACGCAAGTTTTTCTCATGTTAGTGCTTTTTTTAGTAATGAATCCATAATCTCTTCACTTAATAATAACTATGCTATGCATTTTACCCCAACTGATTGTGATGCTAAAGATTCTGTTTTGCAAATGCTCTCAACAAATGTAACAAATTAACTCCGACAAGAATGGCTGAAATTTTCAATAATTGTATTGATAGCAATTTGTCAGAATCAAATCAAGAACCAGATATTGAGCCATTAGTTGTACGCCTTCAAAATATTGTTTTTCACGTGTTAATTTGACTCAGCTAAAAATGTTGCTAACTGAACTTAAGTCTGATCATCTTGACTTGTCTTTAGACCCACAATATATAATGCAAACACCAGTCTATATGAATATTAAGCCTTTAAATAATGGTAGTTACGTCCATGTTGGTATTAAAAGCACGGACTCGTAAAACGTATGGAGAGTGGAATTAAACCGAATTTTTTACAGTTAGGTGTAGATATAAGTATTGATGGCCTGCCAGTCTCCAAAAGCAGTTTTGTTGATGTTTGGCCCATACTAGGTAGATGTACGGGATTATATGACCAAAGACCAATTGTGATTGGCCTTTTCTGTGGATCTGGTAAGCCAAAACCATTGGATTCGTATTTGATGGATTTTATTGATGAACTTAAGGTACTTCAGAATGATGGTATTAAATGCAATAATCAAGTGTTCAGAGTTTTTGTTCATTGGTTTATTTGTGACGCACCAGCTCGTGCATACTTAAAGTGTATCAAGTGTCACACAGGTTACAATGGATATGAGAGGTGCATTCAAGAAGGTGAGCATGATGGTGCGAAAAAAATGAAGGAAAGCTAAATTATATTTTTGGCCTGCTGGCCTATCTGTTACGCGCATTCAGTGGCGAATTTAGGATTAAAAAATGGGTAATATTATCCCCTTCGTCCTCCTGTTCCCAAGAATTCGGGAAGTCAACTACTAACCTGTGGTTCAGGGATCCCTATCTTTTAAGCATTTATCCTGAATACGCCATTGGAAATGGATAATTTGCAAAAGCTATTTTCCCAAAAATTGCCCCCTGTATACAGGGAATATCCTCCCGTGCTTTGTGTTATCCGAATGTTTGACGAAAGCTTGTCAAACATTATATCGTAATGTTCCACGAACATTCTCTGAACATTCTTCGAACATTAGTTAGGTGCGAACTCCTAACAGATAACAGTTATTTCGTAATGGTTATAACATTCAGCGAACACTCGGAGAATATTAACATGCTGCCTGGGATACAGACGGCTAGATGAGAGGCATTTCAAATTTTTTTATCCGAATTAGGATCTGATCCGAAATAGGCACTTTACCCTAGCTTTAATTTCTCCCTTGACAAAATTATTATATTACAAAATTATGTCACCTAACTCAACTCAAGTGACATTGTATTTCAAAAAAAGATGTGAAATCTTTAAATTGCGCCAATTGCAAAGAGACTATATATATTGCTTTGAAAAATAATTGTTGTGCAACTACTTTTAAAAAATAAAACCCAAGTGGTAACTTCATGTAACAATAAATATAGTTATTTATAATGATATAAGTACAATCTATAGAAACTGGTTGGAGTAGTAAAATTCCCCCCTTTCCCTAATTAAATCGATTCGATTTAATTTTTGATGCTATATGCATCTAAATAACTGTAAAGGAATTATTGCGAAAAATATTACCTCAGCCATGGGTTCGAACCTGGAACCTCCTTCATTCCGTGAAGGTGTCGTACCGATTCGATCACTGCGAGGCATGTGGTAATATTTATAATAACTAATAACCTATTATTAGTTGTAATATTACGCGTACTTTTAGCCAGCGTGATTTAAAACTTTCGCGCATCATTTACCGCGCTTGGTTTATAGTTAGCCCGTTTTCTATATTCGTGGAATAATCTTTTTAATTTGAACTCGTCTACTTCCCTTCTTCGTCATTCAGCCGCATTTTCAAAAATGAATTTGATTGGTCGCCATACTCTTTGTTAGCGCCCAGAGCCAATCCGCCACACTCTTCGTCAGCGTAAAAGCCAAATTCAGTTAAGGGAATTATTAATGAATCAATCAATCAAATATGTCTTATTAACATATCATATAATATATAAAATGTATAATTCATTATTATATGTAAAATTCGTAATTTATTGCATATCCCCGCAGGGTTCGCAATCTACTACCAATACTATCCTTCTCCTCTCACTTTAGTCTTTTGGACCAACGGCTTAACGTCTCTTTCCGAAAAACGGAGCCCAGTTTTCTCCGCACAAGAGCCTATCTTGCACGGAGGAGCGCAGCTATCGGAAAACATTCTGTTTCGAAATCATCGCCAGCGACGATTTGAAATAAGCGCCGTAACGCCTACTCAGACGTCGCGAGCGCAATCGGGGAGAGTGCGACGGTCAGCGAGCGCGGCAACGGAGAAGCACCGGCCCTAGCAACCGTTGTTATTCTTCATCTTCTTCTTGAGTTGCCTGATCAATTTTGTTCTCGCGAGTCTCTTTGGAATCGACATCGAAAAAAAAGGGAATGAGGCAATACTGATTGATTGCGCGTGACGTTGATTGTGCTGTTCGCAACCCGGAGCGAGGAGACGCTTTTGGAATCATCGAGTGGAGGACGGAGTTTCGACGGAGCCGTGGCGGGGATCGACGAAGCCGGACGGGACGTTCTGATGCCCCGACTTTTCCATCCTGCCTAATCACTCCCAACTGAGGTGTCATCGAGACGCCCGAGAGTTCTAGCGTCGTTGCTTCCGACCTCGAGAGAAGCCTCAGGTTTGATTTGCTCGATCCGATTGCTGCGGTGATTCGAGTGACGCTTATGCGGCGGTCCCGCAATTATTTACCGCGCGGCTACGTGGTCGACGTGGTGCTAAATATCCGCGCGTACGATCTCAGTTTCTTCTCATTGCGCGTATCTAAATTAATTTATAAATAAATAATATGGTTATAGGAATGGTAAATTAATACAAAACAATTATTTATAAATTAATTTAATCAATAACTATAATAAAACTCATATTTTTAAAAGTAGGTACCCGGGTACCCTGGGTATTAGAATCAAGTAGGTAAACTTCAAGACAATAATTTTTTTACTTCCGGGTATTGAAACAAAAAGTTCATTGCATATTTCGATAGTAAAAAGTTCAAATAGCGACGATCCGGGCGGTTATAAAGAAATTATCATGGAAACATTAAAAATTTAACCTATACTAGACACTACAGACGCGCGCTACGCGCGCGCTATTTATCTTTAACATTTCACTATTAACCCTATTATACACAACTGTCAAAATATACAATGACAGCTGCAAATGAAGTAAGCGCAGCAAGAGAACCAATCGGCATCGCGGAAAAGCGGCAACAATAAACTTCACATCTCCTTTTTAGAAGAGGATATGCACAGGTGGGTATCCGGGTACCCGGGTATTGACATAAGGGTTAAACGTACGTAGTCGAATGTTGGAAATTAGAAGTGACTGTCTAAAGTTGAATAAGAGTTAGAAACAAAGTCAAAACCGATGTCGAAATTAAAGTGTCGTTAGAGTCAAAATTAAAAACGATGTGTCGCTCCGCGGCGTTTTCCGCCCTATTTATACCCGAAATGGCCAGAACCCCCCGCGCGAGATTCTCACCATTTCCTACATGTCTTAAAGGGGGAGGTTTTATAGAAGTTTCTAGAAGCGTAGTTTTGGGCCCCATCTGGACCTCAGCCTGACAACAGCCGCCCGATAACCGAAAGATAAACTAAACATTTATACTTGGAGCTGAGCGTTTGCTCAAAACTCTGAGCTAGTGTGCGTCGTCTAAAACGTTCAAGAATTCTAACGTGCGTCGTCTGAAATTTTAGGATAAAATTTTCGTATGTAACACTATATATGTACAATCGGGAGCATTAATGCCGAATATTGTTTGAATTTACGAAGAGATTTCATAACATATGATCTATATCAATTCTATTTCAGGATAAATAATAAATGAAAACTGAATATGATGATAGATAATGAATAAAGATCTATTAGAGAATTACATTGAATTAATCGGTTGTAACAAAAAAAAACACAAAAGTTGTGAGAGTTGGAGTATATTAAATCCCAATGTAATTTTAGAATTAATTACTCTTAATAGAAGTACCGCAAGAGTACGCGAAGAAGCGTGTAGATATTAATCGTGCGGGTCGCGTATAATGCACAAGTATAAATCACACGTAACGACGTAACTGTAAATGCGTTACGTTATGTGGAAAACGCGTATAATATAAAACCTTTGAAGTGTTATAAAAGTTGCAACGAGCGGGTGGGGGTCAAACGATCGATAGATCACACTCTCATTGACCTTATTTTTATATTCGGATTGCACATATTATGAACACCTTTACATTTTTCTTCAAAAATTTCATTTTTAAGGATTAGTTTTAGTTTTACTTTTTATACTTTTTATACTTTTTATACTTTTTATCATTAACATTATATTATCATCAAAGTCTCATGTGTTCTCATCGCAATTCAAATCTGTATTATTAATATACATTTCTGTTGTCTTTTGCCCACTTACAATCATAGCCTTATTAGTTGCAACATACATTTTTGCAACAAAATTTTGTCCTGTCATATTCCTTATTTTGTCCAATTTCCTTTTCCTTGCTCTATGTTTTTCTACGCGTTCATTCATTCTTCACGCAGTTTTAAGATCTTTTAACACTTTATGCAATCTTTTAAATTAATTTTATACAGACTGTATAATACGCGCACGTTATAAAACTGAATCAATATTACAATATGTCTTGGAAACAATGGAAACTCAATGAAACTTTGTTCAGTTCTTATCCAATTCTTGAGCAGTATTTTAACTAATAATTATCTATTAATACTAGACAATAACTGGGCAGGTGTCCACGCAAACTGCATATATTTTTACCAGGAAAACTGCTTCAGATACTGAATAAAACTTTATCAAGTTCTTGTCCATTTCCTACGCAGTATTGTTACACTAATGAAAATGCAGTAATACTAGACAATAACTGGAAGAGTGTCTAGGAAAATTGCATACATTTCTACTATTTTCTTAATAATTACATTCTTAATAATGACAAATTTTAGTCGATTTTTATACTCGATTTAGTCGGTTTTAATACTCGAAAATTTACCATTTTTAAGGCATTTTTAAAACTTAATATGGTAATTTAGGTCAAAAATTATCGTATAGATTCCACTTTAGACGTCAAGACATTAAGGACTGCCCAAGGCAATGTCCTGTACTAGTTATGTAAGGTAGCAGCTAAGCGACCATGAATTTATCGATTCCCTGCTTATCGTCGAACGACTACTTCGATATCTCGTTTACCAATTCATCTCTCGCACGTAAGCTATAAAAATATTTCTATGACAAAAAATGTTTTATCTTTTCATGGAAAAGACATTAATATTTTTGGGCAAGCTACGTAGTCTTTAAATATCAAGATTTTAAAATAGATATTCGAAGCACCGTATATAACTTTTAAAACATATAAATACATTTAATCCCGCCTTTAATATCTGTTACGTATATGTAGATGGGGAAAGATACACTCTCGGTTCTTCCGGTTTACATTAAGTATAGCTCACTTTATTTCAGACGTTCTTACAAAACTTTATCGCTGTGGAATCGGTCGCGTCCGCTCCGTCGAAAGTCAGACCCGCTCTGCTGAGCGGGAAAGAACGGTGGTATTACCACCGTAGTAAGACACGCATTGATCACGCGTGGTTCACGTCTGTCGAACGCGCGCCTCTGAATACGCGCGTATCGAA